AACTTGGCCAATATCTAGCCATCTTGACCTCACACTTGGTCAATAACCCATACGTATTCAAACTACAAAATGACCCCAACCCTACTGATTCTGTAGTTTGCAGCTCTCTTAGATCAACAACTTGTTAGAAATCTATGGTTAACGTACAATTTCATTCATCAATTTGCGCAGAGTTTTCTGGAGCTAGTGGTTACACTGTCAGGCCCCTCAAAGGAGTTCAGTTATCAGTTCAGATATTTATCAATATTCTTCAAACTACTGCCAAAGTCGCCAAACGAAATGGAGAATGTTTATGTTGGCATTTGGACATAAAGTTATGCTTGAGATTCAAAGAATCCGTTGTTAAACATCAAGCCTCTGCCTCCTTGTCGCTTCAATTTTGCTAGCTGTTTTAATTCAGCCTTGCTCTTTCTCCGCAACTCTTGGTATGTTGAACTAAAGGACTTGTAAAATTCCTCCACGGCTGGCTCCATATTGGCTCTAGTGATTGTGCTTTTAGGGGCGACTGCGTCAGGATTGATTCCTGTAAAGAAGTTAGTAGGAAAATAATGTCCCTTGGACTAGAGTTAAAAAGCAAAATGCTACATTTCATGATTATATCTCAAAGAGCATGCAAGGCATGTTTTATACAGTGGCCGACCGCGGCAAGGATCGAATTTGCTTTGGGTAGCACGGTAAGTGAGTAAGCAAAGTGTATGAATCGATGCACGGTCGAGGCCAGACGAAAACGTCTGGGTGAATGTGTTTTGATACTTCGGGAACTTGTCGATAGCTTAAGTAAGGGTGCGCACAGCGTTTGTAAAACGTCATCAAAAGCTATCTCAACATAAATTACTGAGTTGCAGTAATTCAGAATGTACGAAGAATGTACGAAAAAGGAATGTTGGGATTGAATGGGGTCAGGAGAGAGGATTTTACCCCAGTACCATAGTTTCGGTTTTTGTTGATTTGGTCAAGATGATAATAAAACACTCTCTCGCTATGAGGTTGTTTTGTGTTGCACAACAAATGCCCCTTTACGACTACAGTACGGTCCGTCTAGAGGACAGCGACCTCTCTCATTCGCAAAGGCTTCTGCTGTAAGCAGTTCAATTTAGTTTATTCTAATTTTGTCAGACAAGAAATTAAAATAAATTTACAAATATCAAATCTATAACAAGCCTCTTTAGAGGGTAGAAACCTAAAGAAGTGTTACAACCTCGGTTGTGCTGAAGTCCCCTCAACTTACTGTTAGTTCCAGAGAGGTTTTTGTAATATAAGGCCTGATACAAAATCCCACAGCACAGCAACACAGCTAGGCCAGCTAAAGTGGCGTACATAGTGGCAAGATAATACGGACTGCTGGGCTCAAAGAAGGTCACGGGCTCTTCCTCTACGTCTTCCTGCATTGAAGACATTAGACGACTGAGTTACATATGGGTAAAGTAAACACCATTAGAGTTTAAGAGATGCAAGTTAACTGGGACGAAGTTTTGTCGTTGCCTTTGATCGACATCTTGACCACTCTACGCCAATGTTTCCTCAGTGATCTCCCCAGTTCACCTCGTTCTCCGATACTCATCCAAAGCTACTTTCACGAGTGAACTGAACAAGCGATAACCGCGTTAGGTTTGTATTACGGGCAATCAAGACACTCATCTTGCGTCTCGTGAGACAAATAACGTTGTCTCATAGACGTACTAAAATTTTAAATCTGCAGAGTGTTAGTAAAAGCGACACTGTGAAATGCAATAGTAAGTGGTCAACATTAGTATCACCAATCATAGATGTACTCTTTTCAACTTACAAAAGTATACATCTTTGTTTCCTGAGATATCCGCTCCGAAACAAAACCGTAGGTTGAGGATTAAACTTTAGAGCTCGCATATTATTGAAAGATGAAAGATGAAAGATGAAACTTCATTTCATTGTCTCACGATGGAGTCAGTTTGGGGTGTTGTGGAAACTTTCACATCCCAAATCACTAAACCACCGAGAGGGCAACGTTAAGATGTCTATTCTAAAAGAATTGGAGTCAACAGAACCCCTTTAAACTTAAAAGCGTCTTAAAACATAGCCGTCTTCCAGGAATTTTTCTCATAGGCACGCAATGGGTACATTCGCTCCGTAACTCAGTAGCGTTCTAATCTTTACCTCTTCTTCTTCCTGGTTGTCATTTTCTTCCTGTAAATAACTCGTTTGTACGTCCTGCGCTATGATCATTCTCTCCAGTTCGTCCGCCAAACCAACAGCACTACCTTGTAGAAGAACTCCGTGAGATATCTCGGCCTCCAAAAGCATGGCGACTTCAAACCAAGAACCATTAAACAAGTCCTTACGTTTGACTGGTGTGTACATATCCACCAAAATAGATTCAACTGTGCCGTCTTTCAGAGCCTCGACAAGATGTTCCACATCTGGCAATGTTTTGCCTTAAACAGAGAACAATTCATGAGAAGTTAGACAAAAGGGTCTTTGTAACGAAACGCTTTCAAGAGACCTGGTTTATTTGTACAGAAATTTGTTTTTAAAGGTCGTTTTTAAACCTGTAAATTACGAAGTAATAATTTATCAGGTTTCATTCGCAGCCGTTTACTAACGTGATATCATATATCATTCTGATAAGCTAGGTTCTGAAGAAATCTTACCAACGGTAAGTTTGCCGTTCAGAGTTCCAAGTGCAACACGTTTCTCGGGTGAATCAGCTACAACAGCCACCTGCAATAGGTAGTAACATTCCTAGTTAACTAATTCTTTAATTGTAAAGGCCCTTATGAGTGTGGATAAAGATTATTGTTGTTGTTATTGTTGTTATAGAGTTACGTGGCCAGCAGCCATGCAAATTTATTGAGAAAAAAGAAAGTGCTTACAAAAGAAAAGAGTTGAACTCCCACAGGATTGGTTTGGTACACCAAAATGACCACCGTTTCATTGTTTCGGGACGCCAACACATGATATGGCTGCCGTGACGTCGTGTGAAAACACTGTATAGTCCGTTCTCTAAAAACGTTTGCAATGATCAGTGACGTCTATATTTACATTACCGTTTTTTTGTCTGTTCCACTTGGTGATCCAATTGTCTGCTTGACAGTGGTAACGGTCAGCAACGAAGCTAGAGCGCCCATGAACACAGAGAAGATTACAAGTCCGACTACAAACCAAACCATGGCAAATATTTTTGCAGGCACCGACTTGGGACAAAGGTCACCGTACCTACAAAAAAATGATAAGCGAAAATCCTTAAAATGTGATGCTTTAGTATCGTCCTCACTTGCCTTTAGAAGAGTTTTTTAATTCTTTTGAACTTCTTTGGAGGTAACTCTATCGACACCTACACAAGATTTCCGTCTCAAAAAAATGCTTCCATATTCGGTGAATAACTGTTCAACTCATGGACAGAAAGCTAGAAATTCCCTGCAGCACGCCTGAGGTATTTACGCTACTGCAAAATATTTACCGTAAGCGCGACGTATTTCCTTTTACTGCGAGATATTTTGTTCTTGGTGCAAGACATTTTTATTTTGTAGACTTATTTTTATGCTATTCTGGTACCAAGAGTTTAACAGGTTTGTCTATGTATTTACCCTACTGTTGTCATGGAAATAAATGACCACCAAAATCCTTCGCCGACTCCCTTAATAAACTGATGTGGAAATTGTTCAGAGTTTTCCCTGGAATCCTGTTGAAACAAAAAGCATAAATGAAATCTAACTGATTTAGGTAATTAACAAACGTCAAAGTACATTTATAGGCCGCATCACCTAGACATTTTTTAATACTCGGTTCAACAGCTTTAAAATCAGTGAGAAAATTGCAGTGAGAACTCGTTAGAAATTTAACATGGGTCTAAAACTATATAAGTTTTTTCTACAATATTAAAAAAATATATATAATGTCTATTTTTATCAGGGAAACTCTCGCTTGTCGACAAAGCTGGTGATATAAAAAATCGTTTGTGCTATTGACCAGTACAATCCACCGGGTTAATTCATTAGAGCGTGTTTCCAATAAGTGTCGAAGCAATAAAAATGATCGGTCGCAACAAACCTGAACAATGAAATTAACCAATGAGGACACGAAGCAAACACACGTAGTCGGCGCCAAACACGAGAAAGTGCACGTGACCAAGTTGCCTCTGCTTGGTTACGTAGTTGGCGCACGATTTTATGTGGCTTACACAATGTGTAATTCACACTCTAAGATATTAATTTTTGTTTTTGTTGTTTGCGTCCAATCAAAGCAAAAGCAGAGCAATAAAGGATTACCTTCATAACTCAGCTGAAAGCCTACCTAATTACTACAGATTGAGCAAACATGATACATACCAAAATCCACATGATAATTCCTGCTAACATGGCCATTAAAATGGTAACAACAGGTATGGGCCAAGACTGCAAAACGGAATCACTCGCTGCCTCGGTTAAAATCATACCCAAATCTCCTTTGCGCGTTACCACGACAACTCCAGGAACCTGTATAACCGGTATAAACTTGCTATACGCACTGTGTCCGTATGAAGTCTTTGTCACCGGGAAAACAAACTCATCTGATTGGCTCTCGTTACTGTAGACGAGCTTTGTTTTGTTGTATTCCTCGCACTCACCACAAGTGTCTATTAGAAGGTTTGATATCACTTTTGTCAGCCCGGAAGCGATACTGTCAAGCTCTGAGCCTGGGACGCTGGGTCGCGATGGTACCGTGATATATTCTGCGCATGTGCAGGTCTCTGTTAGTGATGAAAAACAAAAACACGGAGATTTTAGAATGAAGTCAACCAACATTGAAATGAAAACACAGAAACATTTTCACACCAAATTTTGACAATGTCGGGAAATTGAAATGAATAGCGAGACCGAAATAGGACAACTAGCTGAATATCAGAAATAAAATGTGGCATATAACCCATTTTAGAGTGTTTCCTGTTAGATGATTTTTTGCGATTCTTGCAGTATTTTAGCTAGACCTTAAGGTGGCTCTCAACAGTTTCAGCATTTTTTTAAGGGCTTGTACAATTATAGATCAATACTACCACTGTTTGCCAGTTGAGGCTACAATAACTGCATCCAAAAATGGCCAAAAATTGAGAAACGAGTTACGATCATTTTCTTGACATTATATGTTACCATGATAACAGGATGACCTGTTAAAGAAGCCCTTAATTTTCTCTTTAAAACTCCGACACAAGTTCAATGAGTCTCATTTTAGAGAGCGTATTGACGACAGCATGAGGCACCTACCTCCATACACGGGATCACTAAATTTCCCAGTACCCTCTGCCGTCAGGGCTGCCACTTTGATCTTGTACTGAGCGAAAGGTGAAAGGTCAGTCAAGAGATACTCGGTGTAATTGCTGCCAACAACAATCCTTGTACTCACAGGATTTTCGCTGGGTTTTCTATTCACTTTCACTAATTCGTACACCAGTTCAAATCCGTTTATGTCCCCTTTAACACCAGAGATTGTCTTAAGATCCCATGTGACTTTGATTGATGTCAATGACCTCTTAATGGATGCACTGATCTGAGGGCCAGTCTCGTTAAGATCCAGGGCTGTTGAGAATAAATAAGCAAAAAAATCATCCAGTTGGAGGTGGAAACGTTTTCCAATTGTAAGCTAGTGATAAAATATGGCTCGACCCCCTGGAAAAGTTTATAAATCATTCACAATGGCTTATCATGTTTGGCCGAAGTTAAGAGATTGCCGTTTCACTCACGGGTGAAATCCTACTTAGGCTGTACTGATGTTGACCAATACTTTTATGTGGTGCTGTTTATTATACTGTACAAGGTGGTTCTAACTTTTGAATCTGTAGATTAAATCACTCAAATGAAAGCTATTGAGTAGTACTTTCATGTGGTACTATATATTATGCTGTACAAGGTGGTTCTAACTTTTACGTTTGTGGATAAAACTCTATTGTAAGACCACTGAAATGAAAGCTATTGAGCAATACTTTCATGTGGTAATGAAACCCTGGTTCAAATAAAAATGAAAACTATTGATAATTACTTGAATGTGGTCCTGTTTGTTTCTTGATATGTTTTCATAGCAAATTGTACATTTTTTGCTTTCGATTTGGAAGTAAAAGGGTTATGGTTATATGCGACAAGAAACACTGATATACCTGTTTCTGTCTCTTTTTCCATGGAGAGGCATCCCGTGCTGTTTCCTAACCCTGTCACCGTAAAAGCAGCCACTTCGATACAGCCGCTGGAAATCACGGTGGTATTTGTAAAACAAGGTCCAAGAAGGACTGTTGTCTTTATATCGTTGACAATCACGATATAACCTCGTATCAGACCTTTTGGAAGGTCAGGTATGGGTTCCCATTGGACTGTAACTGATGACGAGCCATTACTGGTTACAGAACACTTTGGAGGCGGAAGTCGCATCTGGGCTAGGAGGAAATCGATGGACGAAACATTTCAGCCATTCGTTATAAAGCTTCCCTTACTGGATAAAAATTTCTCCTTGATTTAACGTAGTCTTCCACACAGGATATCTTAAGCTGAGTCACTGCCTCCCGTTGTACAACTAAATTAAAGAGCTGACGGTCCGAAAGTTAGCCATTATGCATGACAGCCCTTAGCTGTGATGTGTAGGAGGAAGAAAGAAGTGGAGGAGCTGGAGCAGGAAAAGGACGCGAAATTGAAGGAGGCGGGGGGGGGTGTCAAGGAATGGATGAGCGAGAGGTGGAAGAGCTGGAGCAGGAGAAGGTGGAGGAATAGACGAAGGGGGCTGAGGAGGAAGAGGAAGAGACTGAAGAAGAAGTGGAGGAGGGGAGGACGAGGTTGGGGCTG